AGATCCTGCAAATGTCGATGTACGTATACGAATGCGTGCCGTGCACATACCGGTAGGCATCACCCCCTGCCGTGCGCAACTGGGGTCCTTGCCATGGTGTGGTAACCTTCCTCAGTTCAGATGCCAGTGCAGCGCTCATTACGGAATAGTCGGCGCCGGTGTCGACGAGGGCGTTGACAGCATGATTGTCGACGAAGACGGCGATTTCGACAGAAACGATCTTTCTGCTGTCAGAGAACACTGCAAAACCGGAATGGTCCTCGTCTGGTCGTTGCGTCGAATGAGGGTCTTTTACATTTCGCCGGGCCGCGACTTCACCCCCAGAAGTCGCCGTTCCTAGTTTTCCCTGCGGGGACTTGGTGACCGGCTCCTGAAAGGAGCGGAAGACGATGAGGGCAAACTGGGTGACGTAGACCGGCGAGGCGACGGTGATCTCGACTGGTGGTGCTGAACAGTCGAAGGTTTTCGCTGGCCCGTGAGATAGGCTTCGATTTCGCGGGGGCGCTCACCGTAGCGCGGGCATCGAGCATCAGGATGGAAGCCGCGGAGACCTAGTTGCCGGTATTGACAGTTCCTGTATACGTGACCCGCTTCGCCGCAGTGATAGCAGAGCGGACGGTTATCCGAGGTGCGCCACGTGCTTGCCTTGATACCACTTTGTCTTGAGGTAGACTGCAGATAGGTGGGTGTGCTCGGGAACCTTGAGCCGTGAGGCGGGCTCGAAGTAGTGGCGTGGAATGACTGCATAGCCTGGTACCTGGGCCGCACAGCAGGATCTGTAGCCGGTGGCGCAGGGGATCGCAATGCCGCTGCGTATGTCAGGACTGGCGCCTCGGGAATCGGTGGTGTGATTGGGGTCAAGGGTGTGACGGCCTGCCGGACTTCTTGTCTGATTACATCCACGAGGGCAGACACAGGTTGATGGGATCCCACCGCCTGAAGCTGTCGCAGTTCGTCCCGAACAATACTTCGAATGAAGTCTGCGAGGGCCTGTCTCTCGCTGTCAGAGCCGATAGAGCATGCAGTGGCCGGGATCTGGCGTTCGTATTGTGATGACCGCTGCTGCAGCGTAGTACGTTCCATTGTGTTCGCCTCACTGATGAACTGGGCGACTGTCGTTGGTGGATTGCGCACGAGCCCAGCGAAAAGCTGTTCTTTTAATCCGCGCATCAAATGCCTCACCTTCTTTTCCTCGGGCATGGCAGGGTCCGCGCGCATGAAGAGCCGAAGCATGTCCTCGACAAACATGGATACACGTTCGTTCGGCCGTTGGTTTCTGCTGGATATGGCTTGTTCGGCCCTCTCCTTCCTCTCGGTGTTCCGAAAGGCGTCACGGAGCTGACGGCTAAACTCTTGCCAGGTCGCAAAGGAGGCCTCGTGGTTCTCGTACCACGTCTTCGCAGAATCCTCCAAGTAAAAGTAAACTCGGCGCAGCTTGCGAACATCGTCCCATTCGTTGATACAGGCAACCCGATCAAAGTGGTCGAGCCAGTCATCAACATCCTCGAAGATATCTCCATGGAACGGCTTTGGTGTCTGTGGCGCATGAAAAACATGGGCGAGAAGAGAACCATGGGCATCGCTGGTTTGGACCGCCTGGCTTGTCATCGGAGTTGCCATCTTTCTGAGTGTCGATGTCAAGGGACCGAATTCAGGAGGTAACCCACGCAGGCGGCGGCTGCTTCTTGCTCTGGGAGATGTAGCTGTCTCCACGATGGCCGACACAGCCGAAATACACGTACCCAGCACTTCCACCAGTAATGTCGCGGGCAAAAACAAGATCTGCAGCCAGGAGCTCACCCGAACCGGAGCAACCAAAACGTTCTCTTCTTCTTCGTAGCCCAAAACGGGTATGAGCCACAGCGGCTCGTTCATCAATGGTGGCAATATATATATATATATATATATATATATATATATATATATATATATATATATATATATATATATATATATATATATATATATATATATATATATATATATATATATATGGTGGTTGAGTGGCCGTAGCGTTGCACATAGTACAGTAGATCCTCCGTGAGCGGTCACAACGTGGTTTATTTCGACGTTTCGGCCTAGAGTCGGGCCTTCATCAGGATTGAAGGTACAGTTTGTTGGTGCGCAGCTTTATACAATCTCAAATCAGAGGGAAAGGAAAAAGAAAAAGACAGAAAAGAAGAAGAAAAAAGAAAAAGAAAAGAGAAAAAGATTATAAGGTGGACTCCCCCCCCCCCATGGTGCCCCCCTTCCACTTCCCCCTTCATCTCTCTCCCCTTTCTCCCCATTCACCTTTCTGATGTCAGTGGTCTGTGTATACTTCCTTTCACTAACGCATTCCTCCCGACCAGACGGCGCCTCCCGGCACTGGCGGTTCGGTGTGGGACAAAAAAGATCTTTTTTAGGAAGTTCTAAGCCTTTAACTACTCGGAGGCCCGTCAACATTTCGTCGTAGGAAGAGGGGTACCGCGTATTGGGGCAGAGGCTGGTAAGCGGGCATTTTAGGAAGTTTTAAGCCTTTAACTACTCGGGGTCCCGTCAACATTTTGTCGTAGAAAGAGGGGTGCGGCGTGTTGCGGCAGAGGCTGGTAAGCGGGCGCAATGCGAATTCCTTGCCCGCTTATGGATTACGCGTGCAGTGGGGGCCTCCCAGCTGTGCACAGGGTTGCTGTTGGGCATGTCATGCATGGCACAATTTATTGGGTAGTAAAACAAAACAGAAAACAGACGACAGCTGCACTTAGGAAGAGTAGTTACACTTGGAATTGTTTTGAGTTGTCCAGTGCCCTTCGCAGCTGCAGTGCCGAGAACTCAGTTACTATTTTCTTTATTGCCGTTATTGTTTTCTAGTGCTTTAATTGTTGCAAGTGTTCCAGGATTCTCATTTATTCCTCTATCAAGGGTGTTAAATCGGTGGATAAGGTATGACTCTCGTTGTTCACGTTCTCGATTTTATTTAAATCCCGTCTCTAAGAGCGTTACTGATAGTTTGTCGAATGCATGGCCGGGAAGATTGAGATGTTTTGATAGAGGTAGAGGTTTTGATAGAGGAGATCAAAACATCTCCTCTGACGTCCGTCACTGACTTTACAGCAAAATCTAAGCCCGCTGTCATGTGTAGTTTTAGCAGCTGCCCACAAAAAGTATCTGCATGGCCGAAACTGACCACAGTGATGCAACCAGTTTCGACCTCCTAATAGACATGAGGCAGATCCCCGCACCCAGTCGCACCGTAAAGTCCCTAGATATGTTTAGGAAAGTACCACCATTCGTTTAAACGAGCCGCCGCACTGCGCACCCTCCTCTCCCGCCTTTCTCTCGGGCCGCCACCGAGATCACGCGTGTTATCAGCGTGACAGCATTCGTGATCGTAAAGTGACGCAAGCCGGGTTATAGGGCTGGCGCCCGCATGGCGGCCGTTCGGTTGAGGATATAGACCGTTTCCCGGAGCTAGCTTGTCAATGCAAAAGTAGATGACTCCACTGCACCGAAACAAAATCACGGCCTTCTCTTCGGTGGCACGGCCACGGTGTGGCGTGTGGCGGACGTTGCCTTGCAGCCTGCGGCGACAAAGGGTGGTGGTAGTGATTTTTGTAGAAAAAAAGGCACCTAATTTCTGTCAGCCATAAAGCGAAATGGCACAGTGTCTAAGAGAAAAAAAAAAGAAAAGAGAAACGGGTGGCGTGAACTACGTGCTGCGCCCGCTTTGCTGGCCTTCACTCCGTGCGTATTCTCTAAAAAGTACAATATTTTTCGCCAATAATATATTTAAATTTCAGGGAAGAAATAGTGGGTACCCTCGACAGCGCACGAGGCAGTGAAAGCCCTCTTGTGTTTCTTGAAGACGGGTTTGTGTGAACGCCTCTGACTTGCGGTGGAGTTCTGCACGTTGCAGTGAATTTGCTGTCTGTTTCTCTCCTATTTCTGTTCCTTCTCTTCCCTTTTTTTCATTTTTCTTGTCCCCTTAAAATGATGCTTCAAACGATGCTTTGATGCTTCAAATGAAATTCTAATGCAATTGATGCTTCAAATGAAATTCAAATGAAATTCAAATGATGCTAGCAAAAGTTCACAGGAGTGACTTTTTTTGTGTTTCAAGACGCTGAACACTTTCTTATATTTTCTGTTGATCTTGATGAAGTCTTTTGCAATTCTGTTGTAGAAAGGGCCATGTACTTCTTCAAATCCTATGTTTTGCCGCATATAGCACAGTAAAACATTACAAGATGCTAATAGGTGCTGTTTAAGCCACATGCACATCTTAATAACACTCTAGTTCACAAGGCCAACTAGATAACATAAACAGTGCAATAGAGAATGTGAGGTTTCGTAATAAAATCATGGTGTTTGTTCGCTTGTGCCACACTGTGCTCTGCGAGGGATGCTGTACTGGTGTTTATAACACTTTGGTGTTTTTAATGTCACCCATCTGTGTGAGTACTTGAGAGAGCTGCACATTAATGGTGTTGAATGTCGTGATGCCACACTGCATTCAGGGGTGCTAAATTGCTGACTACAGTTATGTCGATCAATAGTGCTTTAAATGTGCAGCTCTCTATAAATAAATACGTTTGCATTGCATCCTTTTCAAAATGTGATTACTGTGGGTAAGGAAGCAATGTTACAAAGGGTGAATCACTACTCGAAAACATGTTACAATGACAAAGAGAGTACAAATGCTTCATACGCCCCCCCCCCCCCCCAGCCCCCCGGCTATGTCAGTGCACGTTAAAGAACCTCGGGCAGTCGAAATATCCAGAGCCCTCCACTACAACGTGCCTCCTGGTGATATGGCTTGGGCATGTCAAACCCCAAAAACTAATATTATTAGAAAACAAATGCAATAATGCCATGTGAATGAGGGTTCTATAAAATGTGAGACGAATAACTTTTGTTAGTCACAAGCGAAATTTAATGCAATAATGCCAACTTTACAAAACATGAGAAGCAAAGCATTATAGGTAATGCTGGTAAGAAAACACAAATCAGCAAACAGTGAAATAAGTATTGAACTGAATTGATTTTATTCAAGTGCAGAATGTTACACTTCAGAAGGAAAGGACTGAAGGCATTGATACCTGACGAGGCCCTCCCACTTAAAACAACAACAGTTTGCACACAAGCACTGAAAACAACAACAGAAGCGACTGAAAACTTACATAAAAGAAGTAATAGTTCACGTACAACTTTGAGTACATATAGGTAAATATAAAATCAATTGTATCATTGTTGAGGACGAAAATCATTGAACACAAATAGCAGGCAATATGCACAGAAAAAAACAATGAAAGAAGTAGTTGACTTATTTGGTGGTTTATTTTCCCTGATTTGTGCTTATTATTTTTTCTATACCTTTGTGTTGTAGTTCAAGGGTCGTATAATCTGATAGTGCAACGTTTGTGAACCACAATTTATCCTGATCCTGTTATTCCTGTAGCTAACATGGCGAAATGTATATGGCAGATATTTTTGAGGCTCGTGTTAAGTGAGTGAAAAGGTAGTGTCATTCTTAAGCAACTGATGTGTCTCAAGAGCCGACTGCAAGGTTTTCAAGTCACGTACGTTTAGTATACTCAGTTTGCTCCAGTGTTCATTTGTATTGTCTCGATAATTCATATTACTGAGTGCATGTATAAGTCTAAAAAAATCAGCAAAGAGTGAAAGAAAAATACACGAGCATAACAAAGATAAAAAACAGAAAAAAATATGCACATCTAATCGAAGTTACCTGTGAAGTATATTCGTATAAACAATACTGGAAAACAAGAAATACAGACAAGAACTCGCCATAAAAAGTCAAACAGGAAAAATTATATCCCACGTATAGCTCTTCTAAAGCATATTGGGCATGGTTGAGAAGCAAAGCAAAACACACTGAAACTGTTCTCGGTGCATGCATAACATTTTGCTGCATTACTGGCCTTTCAAGTGAACTAGTGGCACCCTGACACTGATGGGGATGTAATGCCCCTTTTAGGCGCGTCACAAAGCTATTTCACTCATACAAGAACTTCTCAGCACTGAAAATCGGTTTTGACAAATTGACAATTCCTGCAATGACCGTTAAAATATCATCAATGTACGGGAAAAGCTCAGTGCCAAGGTTCCCCGACAGAATTTTGAACACTATCATACGCTGAATCGCACGTTCCACATGAACGCGGGCAGCTACAATGCTCTGGTTTTGTTGAGCTTTACCCTGTGTAAGCTGTTTCTTTTTGCGTAAAAATGGAGGGTGAACCATGGTTACATGGTGCTGAAGGCAGAGTTCATCGATCAGAAAGCCCTTGTCAACCATTACACTATCTATAGAAGGCAAAAACTTCTCAAGAATTTTACTTTTCTTTGCAATAAAGGAATCCGATGCCCTTCCACCATATGCCTTGCTCAGAAGGCTAATATAGCCTCCAGGTGTTTCACAGACTAAAACCATAGCTGTATAGGTACCCTTGTACCAGCTGTACGTGAGTAGCTGTGACTCCAGATCCTTTGGTCTGTGCAGTGGGATTTCCGTGCAGTCCAGAACTGCACGCACATTTGGGTATTCCTTAAAATGAACGGTGAGGTTGTCGACAACCGCCTCTTTGCTTGGCCAGAATACTGCGGTTTGCAGTATTTCTGCTAGTGTTGCAATTGTTGCTTTGAATACATCTGCTGCTGTAGTGCGATGAATGCCAAAAAGTACCCCAATTAGTGAAAATGGCATGTTGTGGTGGAGCTTCATCATAGTCATTAGCACTGCATCTTCATTGCATAGGCAAAAGCTTTTTGCCTGCATAAGCATACGGCTGTCAGTGTACACATCACAAATGTTATAAAATAGCTGGTAGCACAGAAGATCGTTGATTACACTTAGGTCTTTTTGTGTGTTTACATGCGCTATGCTGAGTAGTTGATGTCTCGCAGCATCAAGGGTGTTAACTTGAATTCCAGTTTCTCTTCTGAAGGTAAGCGCTGCAGCAGAAACATCTGAAGCACAATATTGTTAAAACTTTGTTGTGCGAAAAATTGAACATGAGTCAGGTAGCAATAGGACCATCAAACTAATCTTCCTGGCCATGTTCATTGTTAACATCTTGGTGGTTGCTGAAAGCGGAAGTGCCCAAGCTCTGCTGAATCTCATATTCAGATGGTTGTGCCTGGACGTCTAGAGTATCTGCAGGGGGCTTGGAGGTGGGATGTACCGCCACCAATGGCACGTCTGCTGCAACTAAAAAAAAGATGCATCCAATTTTTTTCACTATTCGTGTCAAGCTACATTATAAATGTCCCCTAATAAAAGGGACAACCACACAAGCAAAAGTAGCACACTTTAAGTTGTGTTGTTTACTCCACTTACCTTAAGTTGCTGTCACATTTCGCAAACTTTTACAATGTCACACAGACCTTTCTGTCTTATGTGGTCACTACTTACTGCAAGCACTGCAACAGTGTACTTTAAGAATGTGTCTTTCATGTCATTAGTTACTTGCAGCCGCTTTAACTTTTCATACAAATGTAACTGCCACATCGGAGCTCTTGCATGTTTGAGAGTTCACATTAAGAATATACAAACTTGTTTACAAAATTGTATGTGATACACTTCAGCTTTAAGACACTGCAGAAGACTAAGCTGAATTTATTATGAGTTATTTCCTATGATATGTGTTCAATTACAAGTTGTTACTTTGAATACTCACGAACATTGCCCTCCACAACACTTTTGCAATCTGCTTCCACTGAATATAATGTGCATTATATCTCGACAAACTGAATGAGCAGCACATACAACAGGACTATGAGAAGACAACACCGTAGTCCTGCTGTCTGCACTGTTTTTTCAGTATCTCAATATTCAGCCAACTAACCCACTAGCTCTTGTATAATATCACTCAAGTCAAGCACTCATTGATAATGTGCTTTGCAGGATACCGCTGTTTAAAGCCGTTACAATGGTTTTGTGCCTACAGTAAAGCTATTATGCAGTAATTAACTCAGTCACAAGGCAATGTGTACATCGGCATTGTGCATTAAAATATATGCGAATAATCCAAGAAGATATAAATTCATGACCATGCATATTGATAAAAGTTTTCTTCAGATCTGCAAGTTTTGAAGTCTGAGGAGCATCTTGCTAAGTGCGTTGGGCAATAAAGTACCTCATTTTTGTTTGTTCACAACTTACTTGTCATTCATGCTTTCTAGAACGGCAATACATTTATGTGGGACCAAGTATGCTAAAACAAGAGGCACACGCTGCTCCTACCTCAGCTCAGTCAAATATATGCACCTCAAACGTCCTGTCAAGAACACGGTTTACACAAACTGAAAATCAAAACTTGTTTATTAGCATCACCAAGCAGGACTATAAAAGCTTTGATTTTGAGGGCATACGGTGATGTTCAATTGTTTCATAGAAACAGTGAACAACTTGCAAAAGGCTAGAATAACAGAGAGCTGAGCTAGTTGGTTAGTATTCATGCTAAAGAGACAGGGCATGCAAACCCGTACACGAGAGAGAAGTCAAGACACCATAAACGCCCTTGGTGTCTGTGATGTCTTATGGTAAGGCATTTTTGGAGCCTTGCCTTCTCTCTTGTGTCCGTGTTTGCACACCCTGTCTCCTTAACATAAAAGCTTACAGAAGTAACCACAGTACCACAATCTGTAGCAAATCTTTGTCTCAGAATTAAATGTGGTTGATAAAAATGAATTTCACTGGATTCTTGTCTTGTTAATAGCATTTTAGTCACCTGAAAAGATCTGCACATGCCACACATAAGTAAATTTCAGACATAGGAAGTGAAAACTGCCCTATGCGTACGATGCAGGATGCTGACAGATGCTAACCGTGTCTACACAAGTGACTCAAAGCCATGCTGACCTAACAAATACCCACACCTTTATTCGACTTGGCAAGTAGCACCCTAAACACTATGTATTGAAAAATATAATGATTAATTTTATTATGATCACACTTGTGCATCTTCCTGAAGCAGTCAATATACCATTGTAAACGCTGTTACCAAAGTACACACGATGCAATAATTACAGATGAAAAGCTGAAATAAACACAAATCTTCGCACTTAAGCTTGACTACTAATTCACGAGCTTTAATGCAGTTTCCTATTAGAAATTTCTTTTAACAAATAAAACAAAGAAACCTTAGTATTAACTCATTGTTGGCAGCACATCAGTAAGCATGCTCGAACAGAACCACAGAAATAATGCCAAGTACTCATTCGAAGCATCGAAGCGGCGTGCACACCCTACGAGCATAAGTACACTGTTTGACAAGCGTGGCACCACGTAGCTGACTAATTAAAAAATAAAAAATTACTAACGACTCTGTTGCTTCCGGATTTGGCGACGCTCAGTACGCGGACGATCCAACGGGCACACCGGTAAATTCTTCGACGGCACAGCTCCGGCTTCAAGGCAGCGCTTTTTCCACCCTGCCGCGGAAGAAACATGTTATGCTAGCGGTTTACGGCCAACGAACAGTGCACAGCGATTGAAACGCAATACTTCTTGCGCCACCGGTAAGCACTGGGGACTCCGAGCTAGCATTTCTGTATCGCACGAAAGTGCGAGTCCTTCCGATGCATTGTGCCTGCATTCCGTCCCTCGGCGATCACCCACTGCTCACCAGTGGCGTAAATGAAACTAGCCGCCATGCGGTCCAAGCATTGCGTATCACGTATCACTCGTTGAACACTGTTGTACGCGAAAGATCGTCGCAGTCGTCTACTACTCACCGAACATTCGCGCTCCCACTCCGTACACAAAGTCTTCTTCGCGGAAGTGCTTGCTGCACACACGTGCGTAGGAGCTTGGTTGCTTGCCCATTCAAAGCTTTACAAGCCATGCGTTGAGTAGTTGTTTTTCTTTGGCGTAAAAGTGAAAGCTCGCGCCTGGTTGCCTCGCGTTTGTAGAGCACTGTGGCACGGAGCAGTAGAGTAGCATGCCGCCGGTGAGTTTGACTGCACTCTCCCACAATGTGTACTCTCTCGGTGCCGTTGTCAGATAGGAAGGAGACGCGGCGCCGAAGCGCTTTGTCCCAGAGTCACACTTAACTCATCAACCCATCATCATCCTACGTCTGTCCCGGCACTGCCTCTCCCCCAGGGTCGGGGTCGTGTGAGGGGGACGTTTTGTTACGGGCAGACGGCCATGCCCTGGCAAGGGGGCCACCGTTCGGCGCCAGGCGCCAAACAGGTGCGGCCTGCCTCCCGGCGTACAAGCCAGGGAGGCCCGACAAAGGGACTACCCTTTGGCGAAGCAACTTCGGTCGCGACGCGCAAAGTAAACGTAACCTGGCAAGGTGGGCTATCGCAGCACGTGGGGTGCGCTGCGGTCATGGCCCGTCTCCTGACCGCTAGAGCCCAGCGAGACTTGACACAGGGGCTACCCTACCGCACGGTGGCTCTCGACACCACACGCAAAGCAGACGTACCCAAAAACGTGGCAGCGGGACTGCCCTCTGTCGCGGTAACTTCAGTCACCACAACCAAAGTGCTCACATGAAGCCCGCGCAAAAGAACGCTTTTCAAAAGCAGAAAAGCCTAGAAATCACGTTCAAAAGCGACGCATTCAACCGTGCACTTCGCTTGCCAGAGCAGATTGGGATCACGTGATCCAACCCCGTACGTCACAACGACTGCAGCGCCCACTTCTCCAGTGGTGGGCCTCGCGTCCGATAAAGCCGGTGCACGCGAACAAACCGAAGCACAGAGTCTGTGAACAATAAAAAAGTTGTCAAAAAGCTGTTTACCAGAACAAACAACATAAAGGACCGGAACAACGCAAAAACACCCACATTTAAGCAACCATCAATCGAAGGAAATCACAGAACAAAAGCTTAACATGAACAAAATATCATGCTCTCTACCAGAGCACAGTACACAGCCACGATTTATGATGCCACTCGCACTGCTTTGCAGCAGTTGTTGTACTGGCCGGCACAGCGCCGGTGCGGGCTCTATGTAACATTACGACAACCGCTTCGTTGCCTTAGGCCCTCGGGACGGCATAGTGCTCTCCCATAGTGGAGTATCAAGTACTCTAAATCGTTTCCCACTTTTTGTAAACCCCCCCCCCCCCCCCCAATTACGACAACCGCTTGATTGCGTAGGCCCACGTGACGGCATAGTGCTCTCCCGTAGTAGAGTATCAAGTACTCTAAATCGTTAACCACTATATCTGAACAAATACATATCTTTGGAATTACATTCTCGGTATTGGACGCAGGTTGCAGATGGTGCTGCGAGGCCCACAGTAGAGTACCAAGTTCTCAAAATCGTGGCGCCGGCCACCATAGCGCCAATGCGCGCACACAACCCATATTGTTGGGAACCACATTCTCCGGTGTTGGGCGCAGGTTGCAGATGCTGCTGCGAGGCCCACGGGACGGCTCATGCTCTCCCACAGTAGAGTACCAAGAACTCAAAATCGTTAACCACTTTTAAATGTGAAGCATTTCTTAGCGAACTTCAGCTACTTAGAAGTAACTATGTATCTATATAGCCACCTACGACTTTTAGCTCTCCTGGCCGTTTCAATAATTGCATCGATATTAAACTTGGTATGGCATAACATGACTGTATGAAGAACCTATTTGAATAGTCATGACATGAAAATCATGATATGTATATCATGAATGTTACAATTTCCAGTTCATGGTCCTGCAGCTCTTGCGCTGGTTTCGTTCACATGGTATGTTGCAAAAGTGGTATGGTGTGACATGATTGCACGGCGAACACAAGCGACAGACCCTAACATGATAACCATTAGATGTGTGAAATGTAACAACATGACTACATGCCACGCTCATGATGCGCTGACGGCCATTTCGCTGGCTTCACTTATACCAAATTTGGCATTACGGGACGTGAATGCATGATGAAGGTATGATACTGGTGCAAACATGATAAACATGAGATGCGTGGCACGTAACAACATGACTACATGCTACATTCATGCGCTCGCGGCCGTTTCGCTAGCTTCACTTATACCAAATTTCGTATTACGGGACGTGAATGAATAACGAAGGTATGATGCTGGTGCAAACATGAGATGCGTGTCATGTAACAGCATGACTACATGCTACGCTCATGATGCGCTCGTGGCCGTTTCGCTAGCTTCACATGTATAAAACTTGGTATTACGCGACGCGAACGGACCACATAGGTAAATGACACATCCAACATGATAATCATGACATGCGTGTCATATAACAACATGACTAGATGCTGCACTCATGATGCGCTCGCGGCCGTTGCGCTAGCTTCACATATTTGATATTACATGACGCCAAGGGATGACGAAGGCATGTGACTGGTGTAAACATAATAATCATGAGATGCGTGTCATGTGAGAACATGACTACATGCCACAGTCAAGTTGCCAATACATTTCGACATGACGCGGTGCGCGTGCTCGCCGGCGTTCATTTCATCGCGTCACGCTGGCGTTGCCACGCCAGGCGCCGGTCCTGCCATATAGTCACAGGGGCGGCGCACTGCGTTGCTTTGACGCATGCGCGTTTCAGCACTTCCGGCATCCCTCTGTTACGAAAAGAGGGAGACGCAGTGTAGTCTGGGTAACGCATCGGCATAAAGTAATGTTGCTCTAAGGCATCGGCGTGAAATGCAGCATGTCGCATTTCGCGCCGGTTGCCGTCGGGCCGCGCCGACTGACGCTGGTCGCGCCTGGCGTCAGACTGCTCGCGTTTTGCTAACGTAGCGTCGCTGTGCCCAGCGTGCGCGCGCGTTGGTGGTGGTAAAAAACATTTATTTCAGAAAAAGTTTACTAGAGAGTGCCGACGTGGCCCATCGGCGTGCTAGAGTGGCAAGACCCTATTCCGGGACGCCAGTGGAGCTGGAAGCTGCCCGTGCGCGCTCCACCAAGGAGCGTTGTGCAGCCAAGGTAGAGCAGCCGAGCAGGTGCTCCTCCCAAGCCTCTCTAGTTGGGATAGGAAAAGGGGATGAGAAAGGGACGGGATTAACTGGGCACGATGCTACGACGTGATATGTGTCGGCGAGCACATGACAGGTCGAGCAGGTGCCATTGATTTCCGGCAAAAAGTGCCTGGCGACCGCCGGACTTATAAAGGTGTTCGTCTGCAGGCGGCGTAGCAGTCGTTCGTCCGCTTTTTCCAAACCGCGTGCGGGGTCCGGGTAGAGGCGGCGCGAAGCCCGGTAATAAGTCAAAATTTCGCGAAAGCGCGTCAGGTTGGTATTGCCAGATTCCGTCTCGGGACATGGAGGGGCAACGGCCCGGACATGAGAAGCGCGGGCAGCGGCATTTGCCGCCTCGTTGCCGGGCAGGCCCGAGTGGCCTGGGGTCCACACTATACGAATGGGATGAGGGTTAAAGCGCCAAGAGGCTGCCTGTAGTAGGCTAGCCGCCAGCGGAGCAATGGAACCCTGAAGGTACAGAGAACAGGCCGAGCGCGAGTCCGTCAGGATGGTGCGTGAGGCAGGGTTAGAGGCGGCCAAAGCTATGGCAACCTCTTCAGCGTGCGTTACTGTGTCTGCTCGAAAGGAGAGGCCATCTACGTGTTTGCCCTCTGTAATCACGGCAGCCGTGAAGTGACCCGAGGGGGAGGGACCCGAGACGTCCACGTAGAAAACACCAGGACGATCGGAGTGTCGCGTATGAAGGGCCGCGGCGCGTGCTAGTCTACGGCCAGGATGGAGGTCAGGGTTCATATTACGGGGTAGAGGTTCCACCCATAGCTTTTGACGCCAGAGCTCTGGTACCGGCTGCAGAGGGTCTTGGTCAGATATCGGGTTAAGGCCAAGTCTGTGTAGAAGACGGCGCCCTGAAGGCGTCTGCGACAGTCGATTGATTTGGTTAACGTGATGAGCTTCGCGCATCTCTGCAAAGGTGTTGTGTACCCCCAGAGCCGTGAATCGGCTGTTGGAAGTTGCAATAGGTAGGTCCAGAGCGCGTTTGTATACTGAACGAAGAAGGACGTCCAGCTGGTGCTCGTGTCGACGACGCAGGTGAAGATAAGGCAAGGCGTAGAGGACGCGACTGGTCACAAACGCGTGGGCCAATCGGAGGGACTGAGACCCGCGGAGGCCGCCGCGCTTGGTAGAAACTCGCCGTATCATGCGGCTCACCTGTTCGCTGGTGCGTCTGAGGCCTGCTATTGTGCCCTTTGGATCCAAGGACGATGTGAGGTGAAGGCCAAGAACCCGAATATTTTGCACTGACGGGATGGGCCCGGACGGAAGAAAAATTTGAGGCGGCGGTAGCGGAGAGACTGAAAGAAGAGCCGATTTAGCTGGAGAGCACTCCAGGCCGCATGAACCTGCGTAGGTGTCCACCAGAAGGGCAGCCTTTTGCAGGCGTTCTTCGATTTGCGCTAAGGAGCCGGTGTTGGTCCAGATTGTGATATCGTCCGCATATAGTGCGTGTTGTATTCCCTCGACCTCGCTTAGAAGAGAGGGGAGGTTCATTATCGCCAGGTTAAAAAGCAGAGGAGACAGAACTGCCCCTTGAGGTGTACCCCGCGTGCCTAATAAGTACGGGCCGTGTTCGGTAGAATTAAGGCGAATGAAGGCGGTGCGATGTGATAGAAAGGAGCGAATGTAGTTGAAAGTCTTCTGCCCGCAGTTTGTGGTAGACAGGTTAGTGAGTATAGTGCTGTGTTTGACGTTGTCGAACGCCCCGCGGAGATCGAGAGCGAGCACGGCTTTATCGTTATGGCGCATAGTAGTCGGCTCTATGATATCGTGTTGAAGCTGGAGCAGGACGTCCTGCGCCGACAGATGCGGGCGAAAGCCAAACATCGTGTCGGCAAAGGTGCTCCTGGCCTCCAAGTAGGCTGAAAGGCGTTCGCGAACCATGGTTTCCATGAGTTTGCCTGCGCAAGACGTAAGTGAGATGGGTCTCAGTGCCTCAATACTAACGGAATTTGCCGATTTGGGAATGAATGTCACGACCGATGTGGTCCATTCCGTTGGAAGCGGAAAACCGTCCCATATCGAATTTATAAGCTGGAGTAGCGAGAGGTGTGCTTGGTCGGGAAGATTTGCCAGGAGCGATACTGTGATTCCGTCGCGTCCAGGGGCCGTGCCCCGTCGCATTTTCGTGAGTGCAAATCGTAAATCAGAAAGCGTGTATGGGGCGTCGAGGTCGGTGTTAGGGGCGCCGGAATACGTATATGCTGGGCCTGCGGGATCAATTGTGCGGCAGATGTAGCGGTCACAAAGTTCTCGCGCGAGTTCATCCGTAGTGCCCTGAAATGCATGCAGAACACGGTGGAGCTGGCGTTGCGTTTCTCCCCTGGTGGTGGAGGGATCGAGAAGGCTTCTAAAGAGTCGCCACGCACTCTTAGAGCTCATCTGGTTTGCAGCCTTCGAACAGGTGTCTGCCCAGTTAGCATCGGAAAGTTGTGCGGAGTATGCGGCCGCCTCTGCAGTGAGCGCCTCAATGCGAGCGCGAAGTTTCCGATTAAGTTTGTTGCGTTTCCAGCGCCTTATGAGCCCGCGGCGAGCGTGCCAAAGATGTAGGAGGTGTGGATCGATTGCAGGAGTC